ATCCGTAAAAATCTGAACTTAAGAATAAATCAATAAATTTGAATTTTGCCACGTTTATGGATTAGTGTTGCTATATTATCTTGTTCCTTAAAGGTGTTGCCAATGATTATACCAAATCACCAGTAGGTAATAGTAGAAAATAGTAATGTAGATTTCGATTTAAACCACACTTCTTTTAAAATAACTACTAATTAAATAGCTGTGCCCTTTAATGCAAAGCTCTAAATTTGCAATTATCTAAGTACGATTAAAGGTCTAAAGTTACATAACTCGAACTCGAAAAATAAAATCATGGAGCTCTTTTCAATATTTTACACTCCTAAATTTTAAAATTTCATAAACATAAACATAAACGTTTCTTATAAATACCTATAACCAAGATTAACATCTGATTTACATACCTGTAACGATTTATTCGATTTTACTAAATCAAATGTTTAAATTCAATTCCTGTTATTAAATTTACATGAACTTGCTTTAATAGGTACAAAAATATTAAATAATCAAAGTAAAAACCCGAAAAAAAATGCTTCTACGGCTTCATTTCCGTCCCATTTCACGAAAACATTCCCACAGTTTAAGGGGAAAGCGAGAGAAAAGATGTTACGAATCGATGAAAATTCGAACTGATTGAGCGTAGTATACATAAAAATCGTTTCAACGCCAACAAAAGACCAATTAAGTGGATCTGAAAGAAAGAATAATATAGAAGAAAACAGCGTGAAATAGTAGATTCTGTTGTTCACTCTTTTCTCCGTTATCACCTCTGTAACACTGATAACTGACATTTTTGTTGACATCTGACAGATGGTAATGTCGAATGACTAGAAAATCTACAGAAATAACGAAATAACAGAAGAAAAATAAGCAATAGAGAACTATTCTATTCTTACCCAGTGCCTACTGTTTAAAAATTTAACACTATATTAAAATATATGTTAATGGTAAAAAAAGACGAAAATGAGTTCACATCACTCTTTGCAGAAGGGTAGAAAAACGGACTATTGAATTTTTTACATTTGTAGAAGATCACAGATTAAGAGATATGTATATAGTCACAAGATCTTATTTTATTGTGTGAGCACATTATTTTCATTATTATCTGTACTTTTATTGATAAGAATCTGCTCCTTCGTTTCGGCAACTATATAAACCAATTATTGCTACGTCTGTACAGCTGGTCTGTTTTTTTAAAGACTGAAGTGACGACCATTAACCACATCAAACCCTACTACAGTAAATCCGTGCCTGGAAAGCAGATTTTCTAGTCTAGGAAATAATCAATAATTTTTTTATTGTATGCAATCTTTGTAGTAAAATCAATTTCACAATTTCTGGTAGTTGCTTGTTACTAATTGTGTAATATTTTTTTAAATAATCTAATGAGGAATAACTATAAGATATAATAACATTATGCTATGACCAATAGGAGCTGTGCATCAATGAAAAATGATGCAAAAACGAAGGGTACCAATGAAGTTGTGCAGGTCAGCTAGTCTCAAAAAAGTAGCATCATAGGTTTATCGATCCATATATTAAGTGATGTGACTGACAACACAAAAACTCCGCATTATTTAAGACACATGGACTAACATTATATATCAAATTGTGTCATTGAACAGGATAAATCTGTTCCAAATATGTACAAATTGCTATGCAATTCTGAGTTGATCTTATCAGTACCATTAAAAGGAAATCACACATATAAAACATTACATTGTGACCTATTTTTAGCAATGACTAATTGTTTTAAACCTAAATAATTTACTTTATTCATAAAGCTACTTAATATGTATACATATTCATATTATTCCAATGTCCTGATTTATACAATCTTAATTTTGTAGATACTAGAGTAAGAAATTAACTTATAAGTAGTCTGAATGATTAAAAAGTTGTAATCTGTAGGCTATTTTTTTAAAAAAATACTGTCAAAGTTCAGTTCCGATCTTCTCTCGATCTCACGTCATGGAAGGTATTTTCATAGGTGATACATTACAGCACAACAATGATATTAGTAAACCTATTACACACTCAATCTTTATTGCACAATTTCAAAATTTGTAGTATAAAAGATTAAATACCTACTATAGAATGTAAAATTAATGTGGTCTACCGGTATGGAATGTCTGAACGAAATTGGATGCAATTTGGTACCGAGATAGATAATAGTCTGGATTAGGACAACTAAACTGTTAAGTCAATCAAAGATCAATAGATGTCATTATTATGATTCTGACATATTAAAAATATATTAGACAAGAGAATATTTGGTTTAGTTTCAATATCTGTTTTTGCCGTTACCAAGAAAATGCCGCCTATGTGCCTACTATACCACGCTGGCCAGACGGGATGGTGTCAAGTTTTCCCCCTGTTTGGAGTGCTGTTGTCCTGCGTAGTTTACGTCTCCTACGGGCTAAATAAGGATGGCGACACTCTTTATGATTAAACGCCTACATTTTGCCGACTAATTTTAGCCTTTTCTTTATGTGCGGCAATCCCTGGATTAATCGGAATCGGATATCACCCACCGGTGGGGTGATTATGTCGGACTCGAACCGACCAAAAAGCGTATGCCGTCTCAGGTACCAGTAGCTGCTGAACCAGATGTACCCTAGAAAAGCAATCATATCACCAAGCGAGAGGACTCCCACTCTGATGTCGAGGTCACGCCTCTGCTCTACCCACGCCCGGCAATCTGCAAACGTGTGGAGCGGCGTGTTCACGGTCCGGCCACTGCAGTGGTGGCATGGCTCCTTGCGAATCAGACACAGGTGATCTCCGAAACATACTTTCCCCGTGATCCCCGTTTGGTTGCCCAAGTCGTTCCTGATTTCTCGAGTCTTAGGACACACCAATACAGGGCCTCAAGGGCTCTCGCCTTCAGGTCCGACGGTGGATTTCCGGCCTGGAGACGGTACTCCCTTATCACCCTGATGGCCAGCACTCGCTGCGATCGTCGCAGTAGTGGGACGTTGCTGGCCTTCAGGGCCCCCGCCCATACTGGGGCCCCCATGTTGGAGCCGCGCAAGTGCACTCGCTGCTCCAACCAACTTAGAAACCAGACCTCGGAAATGATGTCCGAAGGCTCTGCACAAATTCGAGGCTTTGTTTTTTTTTATGTTAGAGGGGGCAGACGAGCAGACGGGTCACCTGATGGAAAGTGACTATCACCGCCCATGAACGTCTGCAACTCAGGAGTCACAAACGCGTTGCCGGAGTGAAGTGGGCGGCGCATTCCATCAGGTGACCCGTCTGCTCGTTTGCCCCCTATTCCATAACAAAACACTATGTCTAGGACACAGAAGAAGTCTTTCTCGTCCCACAATGTTTATCCTAAGTAGAAATCAAACCCACGACCTCCGGCTTTAGCAGTCAGTAACACTTTAATACGGCACGCACTTTAATATAATATGCCTCTGCTTTTAATATGCCTCTGCTTACCCTTTTGTGGATATAGACGTGAGAGTATAATGATGACATATAACCTTCTCAAAGAACGCGTTGAATTATTCCAATTTATCAGCAATAATCATACTTATGTTGTTTATTTGTATGTATAGGTATAGAGACATTAACAATTGTTCAATCATGCCAATTACTCGACAGCAATGACCTAATTGTAGTCATATTTTATTCTAGAAACAACATAGGCATAGGGACATAAATTAGGAACGAACATACATAGGGAAGTACATTTAAAACGTTAGGCAAAGCTATTAAAAATAATCGCAAACGGACGCAGATGATCCCAAACGGGGCCGAGCCTGTACTATGCTAAACAGAGCTGCTGATAAACATATTTATATATTTCCAAATACATACATATAAATTACACACAGATACCGAACAAATGATCTTACTCATCACACAATTATATTTTTTCAGTCAGGAACAGGATTATCGACTAGGTCAACAGGCATATTTGCCTGTTGACCTAGTCGAATTCAATAAGTATATAATATATCCTCAGAGAGCCTTTGCCGTCCTAGGTTAGGGGTAGGCTTTGTACTACGATGCGGCTGAACTTCCATATTTTACGTAGAGCGACTGTCATCAGACCTCCACAACCCAAGTACCTACTAGGCAATATCGAAATTCTGTAGATAGACCGTTTTCGGACTTTTTAGGGCTCCAACTATCCGTAACGATTGTCACAGATGTTCGTATCGCAACCGGGACCGACGGCTTAACGTGCTCTCCGAGACACGGAAGGTGTTAAGAATGGACAGCCATCTATAGACTGACCTGGCTAGGATTGCTTAACTTTGCAATGTGCTTACCTACTCGGTTCCCACTTAGCCACAAGCCTCTTACAATTCAATAGGTACCTACATATATTTCACATGACTTTTTATATAATTTTGCATTATAAAAATTCATGAAGTACCAGATTTAAAAACATGCAGCAAGATTATCCTGAGCATGAGTATACTTCTGAATCATTTTTCACTTTTTTTTTGTTAAAGGACTTACTTTTAGGAGTGAATACACCTTTATAATGGGAGATGGGAATGAGCGTTCATGGGCAGCGGCAGTCACTTTTCATCAGCATCAGCTGACCTGTCTGCTCGTTTGCCACCCCTTTAAGAAAAAACAACATTCCTTTTTTTTTGAAGAGTAGTGGTCTAAAAAGTGATTGACAAGTTTCCTGTATAATAACATATTATGCTAATCATATAAATGTACTAATCACAAAGTGTGTTTAAATTGTATTTAATAAAAGCAAATAATTAGTTTAAATAACCTTTTAATTCTCATGACTCCACACATATCATGAATACGGAATAAAATTAAACAGTGAACCATAAATCTTGGTTTATTAAAATTTCATATTCATAACTTGCATATATAAACTTCAATTTGATCAGTTTTTCTTTAAATAAACTTACAAAAATCCTGCATGCTTACTATCTATATATTACAATTTTAAAGCTTTCAGCATAATAAAAATAATTTTATACAACATACATACAATACATGTAATCTAGGGACTATTCTCATAAATATTCGTTACTCGTGTATTTTGTGATGTTGGATTTCTTTGGTGGTGCCACATATACACCAAACTTCTTAGCGAGACTAACTAGCTTAGCATTTTCATATCCAACTTCCTCTTTGTAACATCTGAGCATTAAAGGCATTACTGTGTCTAAAATAAACTTAAAGTTTTTCTGAGCATAACTAGAATCATTGCCCAAGGAAAGCATAAGGCGGGAATTGAAGACGGCATAGATGCACTCATCTAACTCTTTCATACAGTCTTTAGTGACCAACTTCAATCCAACTTTCTGTATAGTAATAACAGACTGGGCAAACCATATTGTACTACTTGATAAGTCAACCCATGTTTCATTAATTATGTACTTAGCTAATATAAGGCCCAAGTTCTCCATCTGCAATAAGAATTTATTTACTCCAGCTTTTGTATGCATATTAACAGGTGTCCATTTATCTTCTGATACTTTCCCTTTCATAGAATCCATAATTTTCTCTTTGTATTCTCTCAAAGCTTTCACTATAGAAGACCTTAGACAGCTATTCATCTGGAATCTGAAATCTAAACCAAATTCACAGAACAGTGTACACTGATCTCGTAAACTCTGTACACATTCCAACACCGAATCTAAAGCACATTGCGGAGTAAATATCTGCTTTATAATTTGACTCATTAATATTCTAAGTTGCTCACTAGCCCACACTACGAAAGCACTAAGTTTGTTCTTAGGAAATAACATAATGAACTCTGTTAAGGCATCACTTAATGAGCAAAAGAAGACTTCACCCACTTGCTTTACATAACTATTAATAGATCCTTCTAGTTGGACCCCCTTGACATGAACCTTTACTGTATGACTGCAAATAGCAAGGAACAGTTCACATGCTTGACTGGTCATGTTAAACTTATTAAGTATGTGTACAGGCTGCCGTGAAGACTGTAAACCTCCCCTTGGACTCCAATTATGTGTTACATCTAGTTCTTTTAACAATATTTCAATCAAAGCTTTCTGCTTCAGCTCAATTCGCTTTAGGATGTCCACCCTTTGTGGGTGGTTTTTATATTCCTCTGCATTTAGGCCCTTTTGTGCTGACACCAAGAGTTCATAAGTTTTCTGGAAATGTCTTTCTACAATAAGCACATCTAACTCTTCCGTTACATCAGCTAACCACTCTGGTAGAGGAGCTACTTGGGGAGATGGTAGTTCTTCATCAGAGAGACTAGGTGAGTCTAGTGACTCTGGTTTGGGCTTATCTTGAGTTTCCTTTTTCTTCTGCTTAGAATTTTCTTTTTCAACATGAATTTTTTTTGCAACATCAAACTTATCCAACCAGTCCTTCTTAATGGCAAAACTGTTGCACTGAAATACCCTTGTATCTGGAAAAGCCAAAACTTTAAAGGCCTGCTTGACACTTCCCAAGTCTCGCACATTAACCACAGCTATAGTACTAATTGGATAACAGGATTGAAACTTATACCTATTAGGACCTCTACGATTAGATATCCATGAAGTCAACATAAGGCAATCATTAAACAAATACACATGCATTCTTTGCACGGCAGTATTTTCCTCGGCGTCTATCTCGAGTAAGTCGCCTTCGTGAAGCAAAGTTCGGTCAGGAACATCTAATAAATTCATGCAACCTTCTACTTTCTCAGCTATGAGGTTGAGTTTATTTTTACGTTGTTCTTCGGCACGTTCCGCTTCAACGTCGTGATTGTCAAGTGATTCGCGGGATATAGCATTTTCGTTACCTAAAATTGACGCGTGGGACAGTGTAGTAAGCACAGTACGCTGCTCACTTAGCAAGTGAGAGAGCTTATACATTTCAGCTTCTAGGTGGGATATCTCTGTAGCGGTCTCGATAAACTGCATGTAGTTCTCATACACATTTTTCTTAAGGGCGTTTGCAGTCTCTTCCGCTAATCCTTGTATTTGCTCCTTCTGTTGTTGGAGCTCCTCCCCTCCGACACAAGACCTCGCCAACTCCTTAACATAGCGCTCGGGCACAAAGTCTGGCACGGCGAACTGTTCCATAACGATGTCTGACATTCTTTAACATGCAATATTTACAATTTCTACACCAATTTATGAGTTAAAAACACTGGCTCACTCATCATTCGATAATCGGACGACAGAACGTATCAACCCATCAAATTCAAATGTCAGTTTCGCCTTTCGCGTTCCGTTAGTCCGGGTAAAAAGCAGTAGCGTAATGGTTTTAGCTTTTATACATTTTAACGTTTAATTTATTTATTCTTTATTGTACATAATAAGGTGCGTAGATTTAAGTAATAAGGAAATGTTATGCACAAGGCGGAGCTTAATCAAAAACAAAAAACTTCATCATCATCATGGGGTGCCATCCTCAAAATGAAGTTTGGAGGTCAGCAGACGGTACACCCCTCGATCATGAGCGGCCTCCTTTAGTTGGCGATATCGCAGTCCGGTCCAGGCCACGATGTCATCTATCCACTTCCTTCGTGGTCGACCTGGTGGCCTCCTGGCTGGTATTTTTCCTTCTAACAGAAGCCTCAGGAATTCATGTTGCGGGCCCCTTTGTATGTGTCCAAAGAAGGCCACCTTCCTTTTCACTATAACCGCCATCAGTTCTCTCCTGCACTTGGCTCGCTCCAGCACCTCTACGTTGGATGTAAAACTAGTCCACGGGATTTTAAACATCTTCCGCAATAACCACATCTCGAAGGCTTGCAGTCGGTTACATATGTCTTTCCTTAAGACCCACGTCTCACACCCATACAACAGTGTGGACCAAACGTAGCATTTCATGACGCGGTGCCTCAAAGGAAATGGGATTTTTGGGTCGCATAAAACCTTAGACATCTTGAAGAAAGCAGTCTTAGCTTGTCCTATTCGACATTTCACCTCTTCCATATGGTCTAGGTCATTCGTAAAGTATCGGCCAAGATATTTAAATCCACCAACGCCTGCCACATCTACCCCCCGAAGCTTTATATTTGGAGTGGGCATCATTGTCTTCGCTATAACCATGGTCTTCGTTTTATGAACATTAATTGACAAACCCATAGCTTCTCCCGCAGTTGCTACTTCATCTAATAAAGTTTGCAGTCCGGCTTCTGAGTTTGCGATAAGCACTGTGTCATCTGCATATCTTATATTATTGACCAGCAGTCCATTGACGCGTATTCCCTCTCTTTTATAAAAAACTTCACTGTTATCTTATTCCAGTGAAATTTAAAAGTGAAAAGCGGTCATAGCGGATAGCAGAGAACGATGAACAAAGTCAAGGAACATGTAGAAAAGAAAATATTAGGTCTTTACCTATGCAGTTGAAAATTTTTATGTGTTGAAAATTTTAAAATATAACATTCAGAATTCCCTAATTTCCATACCGATTCAGTAGTGCTGTGCATGCTGCGAGGCACAAGTTTCGCTGATGGTCGCTTAGTTCGTGTGGCACCCACTCATCTAGCTTTTCATCTTTCCGATTTGACGCAAGTGCTTCAATGTTATTTTGACGTTAACTCCAAATCCCGCAGCTAGCTCACCTCATTGAGTTATATCCGCTTACATTATCGCCTTCAATTCGTCGTTGTTGACTATAGTTACCGGCCGACCGCGAGGCTCGTTCTTCAACTCAACAGACAACTTTCCAGATCTAAAACGGTTGAACCAATAATGGACCGTGTTTATGCAGTTTTAGGCCCGTTCACGTCGTTAGTGTTTCGTCTTGTCTGCGCACCGTTTTTTCAACACAATTTAAAAAAAACAAAACACAAATGACTGAATTTTAAATTAAAATAACATGGCTTTCGAATAAATTTATTTGATTTACAATTGATGTCAATCAACAAATATATGTAGTTAAATCTAAAAATGCTGGTTTTTTAAATCTTCAACTTCATAAGGTAAAGAACAATGCCAAAGACTTATATATTTATTTGTATAGAATATATATTATGGATATAACCACACACATACAAACTCATATACTTACATTATAATAAGCCCTTTATTCTGAATTAGTACATACACGTTTAGATGTTAAGTTTATAAAATATCTCTTAATTCAGAGTGCCTCTTGGCATAGGCCTGCTCTAGCACTTTCCATTGGTTACCCTTCTGTCGATGTCCAGCTGTTAGATCATCTGCCCATCTCGCTTGTTGGCGTCCTTTGTTTCTTTTGCCATCTCTGGGGTACCAGTCGCATATAGTTGTACTCCATTTGCCATGCTTGTCCCTAATTATGTGTCCGGCCCATCTCCACTTTATTTGGTCTTTTCGAGTGAGAATGTCAGCAACTTTAGTTTTTTCTCTTATTGTACTACTTGTTATTTTGTCCATCCTCCTTATTTCTGTCATGCTTCTCTCCATGGCCCTCTGACAACGTTCCAGTTTTTCTCTGTGGAGTTTGGTGAGTGCCCATCTTTCACAGCCATACGTAATGACTGGAAGTATGCAGGTGTTGAAAGCCTTTCTTTTTATAGACATGTTTAACTCGCTTGACTTCATGATTTCTTTCAGTGACCAGTATTTCCATCCATTTGCTATTCTTCTATTTATTTCTTTAGTTGTTTGTTCTTCGTGAGAGATTTCTTGTCCTATTATAGGTAGATATATTCCTGTACGTATTCTAGTAGTTGATTGTCCATTTCTATAGGTGTTGCTTTAGAGTTTGTGAGCAGTTTTGTTTTACTCATGTTCATTGAGAGGCCTACTTTCTTACTTTCCACATTAAGTGATTTTATCATTTCTTGTAGGTGTATCGGATTTTCTTCAAACAGGATTATATCGTCCGCAAATCTTAGGTGGTTTAGTTTAGCACCGTGTATGTTTAGGCTGAAGCCATCCCAGTTCAGTTTGCGGAAGATACTTTCTAAAACCGCTGAGAAGAGTTTCGGCGACAGAGGGTCTCCCTGCCTAAGGCAGCTCATAATTTTGAACTTTTTACCTAGGGTTTCTAGTTGTAATCTAGCTTCACTGTTTGAGTAAATATTCTCGATGATTTGAATGTAATTTGACGGGACCCCTTGTTGTTCCGGGCTCTCGAATTTTGCTTTGTGATAGACACTGTCGAAAGCTTTAGAGTAGTCGATGAATGCCATATATAGGCGTTTATTATATTCGTTGCATTTCCCTACTATTTGTTTTACCGTGTTGATATGATCCAGGGTCGAGAAATTTTGTCTGAAGCCGGCTTGTTCACGTGGTTGGTTTTCATCGAGCGTTTTGCTTATTCTTTGCAGGATGACTTTAGAGAATTCCTTATAGATGTTTGACAGCAGACTATAGTTCCCTATATCTTCTTTTTGACCTTTTTTTAATATAAGGATGATATGGGATATTTTCCACTGCATAGGTATTTTGCCTGTGTCCATTATTTCGTTGAATATTGATGTCAGTATGAGCAATAGTTCTTGCCTTTAAGAAGTACGTTCATAATTTTGTCTGGGCCTGGAGCTTTCTCCATCTTTTGACTGCATATAGCTTTTTCTATTTCGCTAGGTAGTATTTTTGGGAGAATTTCATCGCCGAGGTGGCTTCCACTTTGGTCGTCCCATCGGTGCACTTCATTATCTGGGTTGGAATACTTACAGCTCCTGGTAAATCTTTGTGGCTGTTTCGTTTATGCCCTTTCTGTTTGTAGCTACGGTCTTCTTTTTGGTTCTTCTCTCAGTTCTCTTAATGCCTTCTTGATCCCTCCTGTACTTTGTATGTTATTTTCTAGTGTTTGTAGCCTCTTCTTTTTTCTATCTTTTCTGATGTTTTTCCTAATTTCTTTGCTCAAAGCGGTAATTGGTTTTAGGTTTTCTTTCCTCGGGTGATTTGTGAGCAGGTTTTTTCTATTCTCCATAAGTTGGAGTGTAGTGTCGGTTAATTTGTATTTGTTCTACCTTTTGTACCCAGTTTTAGCCAAAGTCAGTTGTTTTACCAGCTTTCCGTATTTTGTGAGGATATCGGTGTTCTCTTCCGTCCTTGTAATTTCATCTTTTTTTACGCTTAGGGACTTGGCAATTTCCTTTACATTTGTGTCACAATTTTGGTCTGTTTTTTGTCCAGCTATATACTTTCTCTTAGCTTTTGGTGGTTCTGTCTTTACGGAGCTTCTGACCATGCGGTGGTTTGTGTGAAAGATGAATTTTGAGAGTATCGACGTATCTGTAAAGGCTTTTGGATAGTTGGTTGCTATGTAGTCAATCTCATTTTTGTATCTACCGTCGGGGGATAGCCAGGTCCACTTTTTTTTCTTGTTCTTCTAGTACATACTGTTTAGAAGTGAAAGGTTGTGTTCTAGTAGTAGTTCGACAAGCAGTTCCCCTTGTTCAACTTGTTGATAAACTCGATAGAGAGGGCCCGTGGTCACCTTTGTATCACGAATTTAAGGCGAATAGATCAATCGACCTTGCATACATACAGAACATTAAAATTAATAACAGATACCTATACCACAGGAGTAGAACAAACAGCAGAATATCTTTTAGACTCACTCGTACCTGACGATCGGCCGGAGAACGACACTGATCATCACCGACAGATCAGGCAGTGGGCCATCGAACCACCACTGTCTCCAATGTCTGATTTACCATCTTCAGACGAATTTCTCGGTATCATTAGATCCTTGCCACTAAACAAGGCTTCGGGCGATGATAAAATATCTAACAAAATGATAAAAGAAGCTTGTAAACTTTCGGGTGACACGATTTTCACTGTCTTTAAACGTTGCATTGCTGAAGGAATATTTCCTCGTATATGGCGGTGCGGTAATATTCGTATAATACCAAAAAGTGGCGACAAGCCACCGGATGATCCTAAATCCTACCGACCAATCACATTGTTACCATCGTTAGGAAAGCTGTTAGAACGTCTTGTAGTGCCCCGGCTTCTGCCAGGTGGAGTCAAATTTCATGATAGACAATTTGGATTTACGTTGGGTAAATCGACAACTGACGCTGCTATATCGGTTAGAAAGTTTGTCACAGGGTCAAAATTTCAATACGTGCTGGCTAATTTCTTAGATATATCTGGCGCCTTCGACAACGCATGGTGGCCCATGCTGTTGCTGAAATTAAAATCACGGGGGTGCTTTAAAAATATTTATTTCCTTATCTCTTCGTACTTTTCACAAGGTACAACTAAACTAAGACTTGGTCATCATTCTGTGTCGAAGGCGCTTACAATGGGATGTCCTCAGGGATCGGTGCTAGGTCCATACTTGTGGAATATCGGCTTCAACGATTTTCTTGCGATACCAATACCATCTGGATGTACTCTGAACGCGTATGCTGATGACGGCTTATTACTGGTGGAATCTGATTCTAGGGCGGGGCTTGAGAGATTAGCCAATAGATGTTTGAACTTGATATCTCAATGGGGTGAACGTAATCGCTTAACTTTTGCACCCAACAAAACCTTCCAGCTACTTTTAAAAGGTAACCTCAAATCACCGCCGAGCATTAGATTTGACAATGTTACTGTCAAAAATAAAACCACAGTGTGTTATCTAGGATTAGTTTTAGAAAGAAACTTTCCATTTATCGAACATATTAAAATAGTTAATGAAAAGTCTAAAAAGAGTTTTTGTGCATTGACAAGGATATCAACTGCGACATGGGGTCTATCATTTAATACATTAAAGATCATATACGGAGCTACTTATTTAGGTTCTATGTGCTATGGTGCACCTGTATGGGCCGATAGGGCGACCGTAGGCGCTGTCCGTGGCAAACTGTTACAAGGCCAACGACTTGCACTGATATTTTTGTGCAAGGCATATAGGACGGTTAGCACTGAGGCTTTGCCGGTGTTGGCGGGTGTGCTTCCGGTCGATCTCGAGGTGCAGAGACGTGCAGCCATTGTACTATTCAAGACAAAACATGGAATGCGATTTCTTGGGCGCGCGGGATCGCGGTAAAATTACAAGATTGCTTCAACAGCAGTCCGATGTCTATAATGACCTCATAGACGAATGGCAGCAACGCTGGGACGAATCATCCAAGGGGCGCCATCTTTACCAATTTTTTTCCATCTGTTCGCGAACGGTTGTCGAGGACATGGCTTGAGGTGGATCACTCAAGTTCTTACGGGTCATGGTAACTTTAAGAGCAAGTTGTATTCATTTAAATTAGTCGAGTCACCATTGTGTCAATGCTCAACACCTAACTCTCATTATGAACAATCTGCTCAACATATCCTCTGGGAATGTAGTCTTTGGTATAATGAACGTAATATAATGCTGAATAGCTTGCAGGTGACATCTGGGGCGGTATACTATGGGGATCTTGTGTCAACTAGGGTGAATTTCCGTGCGTTTAGGCGATTCTGCCATACATATTATAGAAATCAAATATAGCTCATGTAGGACCCGTAATATTTTGTGGCCGTGGTGCTTCCCTGTTTAAAAGGGTGTATGCCTATTTTACTTCATTTTGTCTCTTTTGCTTTGCTAAGGAGGGAAGTGGATTTACTGTATTTCCAACTCCTCCAATTTTCTTCTGATTAATTTCGTTGCGGGTTCTAAGACAGTTTAATTTCTTCCTGGGACTTCCCGAGTGTCATAACTCGGTGTGTTCGTGGGTCACTGCTGTGGATCCTGGTGTACAGGAGTTACAGTGGTGGGCGTGTGGGTGGGATTAGTCCCAAGCAGTTCCCCATTTGTGCTTCTTTTTCCTTGTCCAAATTTTCCAAACACATATTCTCCTCCTTATTTAGTTTTTCTCCGACTTGTGCATTGAAGTCGCCCATCAGTATAATGTGGTTGAGTGCATATTTCGTTAGTGTTTGTGATAGTTTGTCATAGAAGGGCTTAGTTTCTGCTTTTATGTCTTGTTCTGTAGGTGCGTATACTTGGATAATTGACTATGGTTTGTGGTATCCTGGTATGTCGAGGTTGAGCACGGCTAGACGATCGTATATACCAAAGAGGTCTTGAATATGTTGTTTCATTTCTTTTTTAATTAGGAATCCTACGCCTCTTTGGCCAGATATTTTGCCCTTGTGGAATAGGATATAGTCTTCACGTTCTTCAATTTTCTCTCCAAGTCGTCACACCTCGCTTATACACAGGATATCACACTTTATGTCGTCTAAAGCTTTTTCTAATACATGTAGCCTTTCTTCTGTTCTTGTAACCTTCTCCTTCTTCTTGTAACCTTTAAAATTGCAACACTTAATGCTTGGACCCTCAAGCATTAAGTGTTGCAATTTTAAAGGTTTTGTTTCTTTTTGCTAAAGGGTAGTAGTCTTCTTTCCCCACGGTGACCAACTGGCTTGGGGTGTTTGCTTCGAATGTTAGTGTGTGTGGAGTTGTGGTATTTGGTTTTGTTTGTTGCCAATTGCCCGCGGTCGTTACAAGTTTTTTGGAGTCTCGAGCAGTGAGGCTGGTCTAGCTCGTTCGATATAGTTAAGTATGTTGGGTTTTATGGTGTCTTTTGGTGTAGCTCTAGCAAGTGGATAAGTTGGATTTTCCTTTGAGTTAACTTTCTTAAGATTAATCGATACTTACATAATAAAAGCCTAATTGTTGTACAGACTGAAATTATCATTTTGTTTTTTTTTTCCTAATCGCCTCAGCCATATGTGCAAGACATGTTACAGTCTATAAAAACATAGATTTTAACTTTTGTTGAATATGATATAACAGTCTTGTTGTAGAAGACTGGAGGTAGTAAAGTCTGGTCTAGTCTACCACCAATAATGATAGCTTGAGTTTTAACAGAATTACCAAGCAGCCCAGACGATTTTGCCCATTCAAAAGACTCTGTAGATCATATAATGATGGAGAAGTGACAGCTTCTGTAACTTCATTAATCTTAAAATATCAGTTTAGCTGCAAATTGTCTACATAAAAGAATCTATCTTTTATCATCTACAATTTTGATGACACCATTACAGTGATACATAAAACGAGATCTCGTCACCTGCGTAAAAGGAGCTAGATCTCATAAGATGCAGAATGATAGTCAAGTGAAGAATCAAAAACCGTTAGGTGTTAGGTACTAATAGATCTTGCGTAGCCATCGCTTTGACACATTCACACCAAATCAATAATTTGTACACAGGGCTTTGTTTTACAAATACAAACAGGCCATGCTCCGATCTATTCCGATCAGGATAAATAGTCTGCGTCATAATTAGCAAATAGTAGCATCGTTTTATTCATAAGGTAGTTGAGCACCGTACTGTAAGTAACACCGGTTGATTCACTGATGACTTTTTTCTAAATTCTGTTATACTATTTTCTTTAGCAGTTCGGTTCGTTTTTTTTTTAATATATTAAAACAAATAACAATAACTACTTTGAACCTTTTTCAAATATGCGTTATCACCTCAGTCCATGTCCCATAGAGCTTACCTATGTAAAAGTTATGAAATAACGCATGATACCTCCATTTTATTACCTGAAATTGAAATGAAATAAAATATCGCAAGTGATTTAATTAATGTAAAACATAAATTGAAACAGAAAATATTTGTCAATTTATTTTTACGGTATAGTAGGCAAACGGCCAAGCGGGTCACAGAGTGACTATTGCCGCCCATGGACATCTTCAACTCAAGCAACCCCTTCCTTTGAGTTAAAAGGATCGGGAGGTTGGGCCTCCGATAACCTCATGCATTCGCTGAAAAGCAAAGAAAGACTTGCTTAACACCTTAGTTTGGTTGTGACATATAGTTTTCCGTAAGAGCATGGCATCACTCCAATCAAGCTAGACCGCATGTTGCTGACCGTTTTGGCCTACTATACCATGCTGGCCAGACGGGTTGGGATTAGGGTTTGTGTCTTTATTGTTTATTTTAAACAACTCTTTGCAATGTACCGTACCTTTTTAACGTAAAGTTTAACGTAACGTTTTAGTTAAAAGTGTAATATCATCTCTAAGTCATAAAGGCGCACGTGAATATATCGGGGCCCTTATCTATCATTCAATGATTAATTACCCTTAGGTGAGCATGGAGAGAGTAGATTATTTTGTCAGCCTGCCCTGTTTTTTTTTGTGTAGTATACCTATTTATAATATGGGTAGGCGGTGAAATCTGTCAAGATACTTCTCAGAGGTTATTTGGTTCCGTCAACGGGTAGAAAAAGGCAGCTGGTCACCTTTCAATCAATTTTCTATGACGGCCTACCCGCAAAAAAGATGACGAGTGCTTCCATGATGGTGAGCTAGTAAATATTAACATTTGAAGCTGATTGACTAGCAGATTAATGATAAGGCCAAATTAACAATGAGAAAAAGTACACGATTGCGTAGAGTAAGAGAACACTCTGACTACCTACACTTTAAAATAAGAGTAATGCGTTAGGATTGGCATAGTGACTAGAAGGTTCAATAAAATATTACTAACAATAGTTAAATTTATTTGAAATGGCAGTTCTTTCGTATAAATGTTTCTGATTAGTATTTACTCCATTTCTATACATAATAATTAGCGTGTAGTTTTACAGTTTTTTATCAAGGTTTCAAGGGAAAAAATTAAAGCATAATGTATAGTTCGAACTTCCAATTCAATTTAATAGATTCTTCTTTTGGTGAGTGTATTTACTACTAATTATTGTGAACAATCGGGGGTTATTTTTATCGAATTAAAAGTTCAAACTATTGTTGCCACAAATCCAATCAACATAGTATAGTAGTAACAAAATCATGAAGGCTTGTTTTTTTAACAAACTAAATGACACTATAGTTAGACAATGTCAATGTGACATTTGTTTTTGTCTTAACAAATCACGCTTTTGTTACATCGAGTTGTTTAGTCGACTTTAAGTAGTAACATCTATTCTTCTTTCTTCTTGGGTTCAGTACTTTTTTTCTTTTCGAGTTGAGCGCTTTCAGTTTTTACTTCAGTGACCGCGGCAGGAATCTCGGACTCCTCGGTTGTGAAGTTACCATTACGCTTGAATCTGTAGTATCGGCCAGTTGCGACGACTGATTCAGTGTTGTAGCAATTGATTAGAGCATCACCATGACGGCCTAATAAATGTTAACATTCAAATTAATAATTTTGTCCAAAAAAATCGAATTGATTAGTATGTTTGGATATACTAACGTAAATTACGTTATTATTACGAACTAAACGCAATATAAGAAATAATGTGTAATTATTATTATCCTAAATACATTTAAGTATGCAAATAACTCAAATCAAATTTTAATAATGCTTCGTATCCCAAACAGATATTATTCATGTCACAATGGCATAAATTATGCGAACGTGCATTAAAAACGTCGAAAAATCTATCAATCATTTATAATTTGACTAGTTTTCCATAGAACGTTTGTCAGCTTTTCCGTTAATTATAATTTAAATAACTATAGAAAATATACGTATTTTACACAGGCGAATATCGATTCGAAAAGATTATAATTACCATTGGGGCAGGTGCAGACAGCAAGATGTCTACGCGCCATGCAAACAGCTCCAGAACCACACTGTGAGTTGCCGAGGCAGGGATCCACGCAGTTGTAGCCGACACACGCCAAGTGATCAGCGCACTGAGAGTCCAACTCGCATTCACCCTGAACATTTTCAATAGTCCAATTAACATCTCAAAAGCAATGTAACGTTTTAACCCATTTTTAATTTCCTTTAAAACTTACACGTTCACAATTGACGAGAGCGTTGCCTATATATCCACTGGGGCAGGTACAAACGGGACGCTCGGCACCAGTGCGATCATGTCCAGGTGTACATTTTGCATTGACACCACAAGGATTTGGTTCGCAGAGATCGCCTGTACATTAATGAGGCCGTAAAATTATGGGTCCAAGACCATACCTTGGGAGACACTATTTAAATTATTTTAACAAGGTTTGAAATATCATTCAATGTTGATTTAGGCAGAAATAATTAAATAAAATTGTTGATGAACTCAGGTACTTTTACAAATAAGCGTAATCATTATTATTCGCGTCATTCAGTAACTAAACTTCAACTTACGGGCTTCGAAAGGTCTACAATAAGTAAAGGGATCTCCAGTCATATTTCTTGGGCAGGAGCATACAGGAGTCAGGCCACGGAGGTGACATTCAGCGTTAACACCACAAGCATTGATGCAAGGATCCACACATGCGTTGTAGAGGCAAGCGGGCTTGTAGCTTGGACACTCAGCGTCGGATGTACATTCGGCGGTACAGGCACGGTAGGGGTCCCCAAAGTATCCCTGTGAAAATAAACATCTTTGCCTGAGTATAAATTATTTCTCCGTAATTTTTTAACGAGAATTTAACCTAGGCTTTTCGTCTAGGGTAATATATGTGCCATACCACACATTTATGTCTGTGCCAAATTTCATCCGTATTGGTGCAGCCGTTCTGGTATGATTGATTAAAAAACATCCATCGTCTTAAACTTTCGCGTTTTGCAATATTAATGAGATGTGCTTTGGGAGCAGAATGAGATCCAACGTTTTATTTAAGAAGGAATGAAAGATCGATATACCTACTGTGAAGGTAATAACACTGAGATGAATGAAACATACCCTACATAAATTTCGGAGTAGTCAGTTTTTTTTTATTGATTTTCGAAATGATATTAAAATGAAAAATAAGTGTAAATACTGAATAATAAGTTTAATATTTAATAATTTTTTGTTTTATTTTATTTTACTTACTCTTGGGCACTTGCAGACAGCACGGTGAGCAGCGACCGTCTCGCAGTCAGCGTTGAGGCCACAGTCACTGCAGGGACTGGCGCACTTGAAGTCACGACACGACTGAGTAGTAGGACAATCGCCATCTGAATCGCACTCGTGACGGCAACCCACCAAGGGACTGCCCTGTGGATAAATAATAATGCTATAAATGTGACAAATAATTAGGTACTATCTTACTTTTATAAAGACGTACAATATTTGAAAGGAAGCACCTTTATCCATCTTGATTGGTAGGTATATTGGTATATGAATAACGAAATAAAGTCTTCTACAAACCGCAACATAAACGTAATCGCAAACAACCGATATTCGTTGTTACCTTACTGACTATTATCACAGGAAGTTCTTAACCAATACACACTAAAACATTCCATAACTATATAGCAACCCATAAGTACGTGTTGCCAAGTTTTAAATTAAGACTTATTTAGAATTCATAAAATTAAGATTATTCACATGTACATATTGTATATTAGTACTATATTTAATAAATGATTACTTAGTCTAAAAATAAATGATCGAATATAACAGTAACAAACCTTGTATCCAGGAATACAGGTACAAATAGCTTGGTTGTTGGCTACGTGACACTGGGTATTAGCGCCGCAGGGAGACGGGTGACATGGCTCCTCTGTAAGTACAAACACAGCATGAGGTACGAATTTATTTGGTAGATATCATACATTTACAACTGATTTAGACCTGGGTCAGCGACTCTGCAAGAGCTGAAAGGAGTGCCAGTATATCCTGGGGGACAAGAGCACACCGGAACGTGGTTTCGGACCTGCAGAAAGAAAAGATTTTGGAGTAAATTATCATTTCACGTTTCATAAAACTACATTAACGATCTCATACTTAGTACAAGAAGTTGTAGGTATATAATGATCTAAAATTAGAGTACTATCACATTAATTAAACACGATTATTGAGTTTAATACAGTTAGATTAAATTAAATTTTTATTGTAGTCATTAATGTACATTTACAGTGAAAAAAGAAATATTTTATAGTGCAATTAAAATATTTACACTATTTAGATACAATCATCAAAAAATTCCTCCGCATCATCGACTACTGGTAGCGTTACCAGAAGACTGGCAGCAATGCCACGTTGAATGGCAATGTTAATTCTCTGTTCTGTAAAAAGGCCGGCAATCTGTTTACGAGAAGTATCGATCGGTTGCTTAGCTAGTACATAGCACGAGCACTCGAACCCCATGACGCTAGCGTCTCGACCGAAAACAGTTCAAAAATTTTGATTAAACTTTATAGAAAGAAGACGTTCTATTTTGAGGTACTCTAAACAAAACCTACAACCTACATTCTCTGTCTCTTCGTGAAAGTACTGTTATATGTTTTAGATATTTTGAAATGACAACAATTTTACTGTCTAATAGTAGAAGAGTTGCGGGATGTGAAAAGGTAAAACTTACATCACAGTTAGCGTTTGTTCCACAAGTACCGACGCAGGGATCTACGCAGTGTTGGTTTACACAAGTCTGGGTAGAACGGCACTCACTGTTGTCTAAAAATTTCAATTATAGGGGTTATATGATTCTATAAAATGATAAGTGTTCCGTTTCGATTTTTTGACTAAGCGTTCATGTACTCACCAACGCACTCGATCTTCACGCACGTAGAGAGAGCGTCTCCAGAGTAGCCCGGTAGGCAGGCGCAGACAGGCCTCACAGCACCGTGGATACAGTGTGCTCCCACACCGCAAGTGTGAGGCCCGCACCTTACCAGGTTATCAGAGATGGATCGTCCATGTTCGTACAAATTTCGACCCAGGTAGTTGTTGTAATAGCGTTGACCTAAAAAGTAACATATTAAAGAGTATTCAATAAAATTTGTTTATTAAAATGAATTGATAGATTTTTGCAGGTTTTTGTTGGAATATTAAAAAAAAAAGAGATCTAACAATATTATATATAAGAAATATTTTGCAACTTACGCTTTAAGTTATTATTGATTTGTTAAATTCCATTAAATTGTTTGTTAGTCTCCAAAGTCTCTAAATGTCCGCATTATTTATTTGTATATATGACCTATTTACGAAATTAAATACTCGACAGCTAGTATTATAACCTACCTTTTAATTAGAACTCTATTCAAGAAGACGATAATAACGACTAATGAAACGATCCATAAATAAAACACGTTCATTATTCAGGAAGCAGCATACTTAATTACACAAGTATGTATGTAGAACAATTGCTTACAACACAAATAACACATGCTTTTCCAGCAAAAACGTTTTCGCACCCCACGCTCAATCAATGTCTTGTTGATGGCAGTCAGCAGAACATCATTAAGAAAAAGAAACACAAACAAGACCTTGCCAACTTGCCATATGTGTGCGAAGCCGCGCCTACGTAGGACCTTACGTCCTTGTCATCGAGTAAAATAATAAGCGGATCTAGAGTAATACTGAGTTAAATAACTGAGGAATGACAAAACGTTTGTTTAATAATCAGATACGTAACGAACATGCTAACTTTGCACTTGAATTATTTAGTTGCCAACCGTAGTGAAGTATAATGGGTATTATCTCATTTGGGCGCGAGTCATGAACAAATGTATTGACCATTGGAATGGACAAATGTATTGATCGACGAAATCTACGAAATATTGTCGAACAAAGTGTACAAAGTGAATGTAACGATAAGTATAGATATATAGATAATAGAACTGTAAGTTATTTCAAGTAGATACTAATCAAAGTCTGCTTTCTTTTCTTTTGATTTAAATAATATTAGTGACTAGGACCACACAATTTTCTTTTTATCCGCAACCAATTCATCGCAAATTCAACAACAGAAGTCACGATGCTGCTGTTTTATTGTATGTGTATTCATACATTTATTGCATGTGTAATGTAATGTTAAGCAGATAAAATGCAGTGTTCTGATAAATGGAAAGGAATGAGTTAAATTGCAGTGGGGCCCACACATTGATGGATTGTCGAATAGACTCACCTCTGCAGCATACGCGGTTTATAAAATTCGTCAATTAACCGATGTAGACTAGTGTATTTTAGCTATGAAATGCTGCTGACATTTAGAGTATCTTATCTGTATCTTTATGTTGCCAAAAAAGAGCTATTCGCGCAATTTATAATCTCAGTAAATCACTGAAGGATAAGTTTAAAGAAATTGGTGTTATGACAGTCGCATCTCAATATATATATAAAAATTTAGTGTATGTTAAGACAAATATTCATTTATTTACAAAGTTTAGCGACTTTAATAATATAAATACTAGAAATAAAGATAAACTCGTGTTGTTAACAACTAGACTACAAAAAGTAAGCAAGTCTTTTCGATGTCAGGGTGTGCGATTCTGGGGGTCGTCTACTCGTCTGTAGATGACCCGAGGTATGTCGGGGTACCAGGGACTTCCTTTCTAGGGTATACCTGGTTCCCCGGCTATTAGTACCCGAGACGGCGTGCGGTTTTAGTCGGTTCGAGTCCGACATGCCACCGACAGGTGGTATCCGAGGGGATTTCCGCACGGAAAAAAAAAAAAAAAGGCTGTGCGATTCTACAATAAAATGCCAAGCAAATTTCATGAATTAAGTATTAACAATTTTAAGTCCTTAGTTAAACAAAAAAAAAATTAACTTTTTGTTGTAATTCGTATTTCGTTTGTTTTCAATTTGCTTTTTTGAAATTTAATTGTATAGTATTTTTTGTTTTGTGTAAGTATGCACCTGTGAGTTTATTGTAGGCTTGTAAATGTTAGTTCATATTTTAGTAACTTTCTGGTGGTTTTTAGTGTCCACGGCCTGCTCAAGTGTCCTGCAGTTCCTGTAGTGTCGTGTTCCGGGTTGTTGATCCTGACTACATCGGTTAGGCTACACAATGGCTGGGGCTCGTATGCCCTCTGTATGGACGGGCCGACTTAATACTATCTTTCTTCAAAAGGCCAACCCAGACCCTATACTGCACTCACATAGTCCTCATTAACATTGTACGCGGACTTAAAAAAAAAGCCACCTATGTGGTTTGTTTCGACGTTTCTTCCCAGAGCGAGTCTTAGGAAATGCCGAAAATATCTGAAAAGATTTTCTTGCAGAAATAAATATTATTTCATATCATGAGAATTTGAATTATGAGATGGATAAAGAAGAATAAATTTTCATATTATAACTGAAGCACGGGTACGGAATATGTTGGTTTTATCCGCAGTGTGTGAGATATGATTCAATACGAAAACTAATTAATTGATATAACTAACTGATAAACAGTAAGGACGAAAGGTTCAAGAGTTTTGACCACAGACTATAAGATATCTCGTTGTCCCACTTAATAGGAACAAACACTTTAGCCAATATGGCATGGAACTGTTAATTAAATACGGCCTAGACTGCTTTTGAGGAATAGTTTTCGAGAGCCTATATTTAGTAATGGATGTTCAAAGACTAAAGAATCATGTTGCCATGATTGGGACAATACTTATTTGAAAAAGAATAACAGAAAAGCCTTAAAAAAAGACCTCTGAGTCGTTTTTATGAATATTCTTGACCATAATAAGATTTGATTAAATCTGTTGAATAAACATTTTTTGTTTTTTGGCATAAGCCTTGACCAGGTTACATTGAATCGTTTTAAACAAAATGCACAAATGAGAAAGATATAATTTTACTAAATAGATGGATTCATTCACAATTCTAGTCAAATAGCATATTACAGGTACGTTATGTTTACGCACTCATTAAAAAAACTGGGCAAATGCATGTGTAACTAGCTCAATGAGGATGTTGTACCAACTTGCTTTAGATCATTCACTTCTGAAATTGTATCTCGAAGAGTTTTGTCCCTTTGTTCCGAAAACTCTGTCATTCTACATAACTGTCATTCTACAAATAAGTTGGTACTCTACAACGCATAGATAGACTTCAAATCAGTTTTACCAAGTCCCAAATTAAAGTTTTAAGTGCCATAACAAAAAATGGATGATTCATAATTAATGACTTTCGGATAATTCCTCTTTACTTCTTTTTAAAAAACTATTTTGTGCCTGAAGATCATGCTTCTTCCAAAATTTATTGTTTCCCGGCCAATGCTAAAAAAGACTAATGCTACACTTTAGGTTTTGACTTACCTACCTGAAGTGTTGAAATTGTTTTAAATCTAAGTCTTGAATTGAAGTAGATTTTTGTAGTTTCAAGGGACGCAGATAGTATTTGAGATTTTTTACCTTGACAACAAAGACATAGGTACAAACTACTAAATTGTCCATGTATTACGCATAAAATTAATTAATATATTTAAGACGGTCCTTATACAGTTTGCTGATTCATAAAAACGCACTAATTAAAATATATTTTCAATTAATTATTCAAAGCATATTATGTCATTGTATTTTGAAGGTCACTATACACTCTCATGCTGTGTATTGTATTGACCACGCGGAATACGCCCACAACTATCCCCTTCACATCTTCACTGCATAAACATAGTCGTATGCATACAGACGGACATTTTGAATAGCTCACACAAAATAATTTAGATCCCACAATAGAGTTTGTTTAATAGAACCTGTATATTTAAACCATTTATTTTTGCTACACAAGAAACATAAAACATACACGGATACAAGGCACATTACTAAAACACAAAATTAATTTTATAATACATTTGGCACAATGTGTAGCAAGGGCTACCAGCTCAGTATACGTTGCACGAAAGCACAACACTGATTTTCAGCTGGCGCCTGACATTTGCCCCAACAGTTAGAAACTAAAATACTACATATAAAATCACATGCCTTACAGACTGATTCATCAACGCAGGAATTAAGAAAGAATGTTTGGAAATATCACCCCTAAGGGGGTAAAATAAGAGATGAACGATTGTATGAAAGTTCGTCATTTTCAAAGTTAGAAACAGGAAATAGGAAATAATCACGAGAGAAGCCGGGGACAATAGCTAATATTTTAATAAGATAACTTCAGACATCTCACACACGGCCGTCAGATCCCAAACTAGGCAAAGCCCATATTTACCAGACCGCTGAAAAACATACTTATATATTTCTAAATACATACATGTTATAAATTAATTACACCCAGACACAGAAAAAAAAATCAAGCTCATCACACAATTACTTGTCCTGGGTGAGAATCGAACCCACAACCTCTGGCTTGACAATCAGGATCACCAACCACTCTAGGGGTTCCAACAGGCCAGGGGAAGAATATAATTGTACAATATTTTACCATGACAAATAGATGAAAAATTGTAGATAAAAGCTGGTGGAACAAATCATTTCACTGTTACGTCAGAGTCCCATTTTAGGTCAGTGCTTATGTTTAGGTAATTTAAAATATGTATTTGCATTGTTCCGATTATCATGAAATCTTGTTCGGGGGTTTATTAATTATGCTATCATGAAAATAATAGCATAATTAAAAAAACCTAAATAAAAAAACAACTGCTCATTGCGACTGTTCTAATAAACCCAAACATAGTATATATGCTGTAATTTTCTGAGAAGTTGGCTATCCCGACTATTTGATACAGCATCAAGTTCCAGGTTACCATGTTGTGTCTTCAAAATTTATAGCTAAAAACCATTTCGATCACATCGGCTTTTGAAACAAAATAAATCCGCATCGAAATTGGTCCATCGGTTCGTGAACTATGATGACACAGACATGTTACAGACAGATACACAGATACGCAGATACACAGACTAAACTTATAACATCCCTCGTTTTCCGTCGGCGGTTAAAAAAAGGTTTCCCACAACAGTTTCATAAGATTCTTCTATCTTACTAAATAATAGATATACTTCAATGAATGAAAAATAAGTAACTTACTAAATTTTTGTGCGTCCTAAAACACTTAGTACAAGCTATACTTAGTGTCAGTATAGTATAGATCAGATAATTCTGTGTAAAATAAAAATTAAAAAAGGAACATTCTTGAAGTGTAACTTACCATCAACAGTCCCTAACACTAAAAGCACCAATGGCGCCAACATCAGTGTCTGAGCCATCTGTTGAAATATGCATTACATTAGCGTTAAACTTCACTTATTTTATAAATATAAATTAATAATTAATAAAAAAAAAAAAAATACATATAGCAGAAACATAATAAATAAAAATACAAAGGTCATTAATTTCAAACACGATATGCAACTTCAGAAATGCTTATTTAATGAATGTGCAAAGGACTCCCGCTCCGGCTCGTTTCTGGTGCAAAGAATGTCCGTTGCAATTCAGCGAGGCAATGCTGCCAGTATCATGGGCACCTTTGCACCGGGAGCGACGCGGGGCGGGTTATATGATCTGACTTGAAATAAAAAAAATAATATATAATTGTAACTTAAATGTATGTATTAGATTAACATGTATATACTTAGAAATAAATAGTAAACAATCAAATTAATATTGCTTGTAATTATTAAATATTAATGTGCAAAGTATCGCTATTAAAACCAATAATTCTAAGGTTGCAGCCACATTCAAAAACTCAAAATTGTTGTTTATGTTGTTTTGCAGTTACTTTTCACAAATAAACTCGCAAATTATTATACAGTATTGAAAATATTCGCCAACTCTAAATTTAGAACTTACTTTAAAAATGCATGTGTAAGCTTTAGTAGAGGAATGAGAAATAAAATAATAGGTAAACTTCTTTCTGGCGGAGTCGGTTGAAAACAAATGTTTTACAGTACCTCGTTGTGTCACATTAAAATATAAGTTGAGTTCGTGTGTTCCTCTTACATTACTGCACTTTATACGTAACACCCGTATCCTGTTCATCTTTGGGTATTAAGTTACTCAATTGAAAGAAAAAAGCCAGATAATTACCGTATTAGATCAACGCGATCTTTACTTTTAAGCTATAAAACTGCAAAATATTATATTGAAGGTGCTGCTAAAGCTACATTAACTTTTTTATGTATTTTGCTCGTAAAGTTCTAGCTGCATATATATTAAGGCCTTTGCAACAATCAGTTAAAAAGCCTTTAAATAAATGACATAATTTCCTCATCGAACATTATTAGTTAACAAAACATATTATCGTGAATGAGCTACATCACAAAGGTTTATTACTGTCCACTTTGTCCTTCATGTAAATAAGTATAAATAGGTTGTTAACGTAAAGTGCTGACCTCGACATTTTGAGCTCAGCCAAATATTAAAGATTTGAAATTATTACAAAGATTGTTCAGTACCCACATAACTGAATGGTACCTGCTTAGATATAAAAATATTTACTCATGGCATAATATGTCATAAGGTAATGAAAAATAAACTTTATTTTATTTTGTTATGGAAGGAACACCGAACCTTACTTTCTTTTCATTAATAAAATGCGTTTCACTAAAACCGTAGTAGGTTTTTTGTTGTATTACGGTGTTTAAGTGAATATTTAATATATTATATTATATATTAAGGAAATCTTCCTAAAATATCTGATTGTGTGACATATAATATGGTTATAATTATATTAAAAATATATTATTAGTAGGTGTGCATGTTATTCATTTAAAAAAAGATACTTTTTACACATATGTTATAAAATAAGTAAAATCTATTTGCACTCACTTCACAAACATAAAACTGCTAAACGATTACTTTTTCATTTAATAACACAGATTTTTTTGCGCCACTAATGACACTTACGTCTGTTCGTATTTTGTCTGGCGCAAAGATATCGGCCTGCGAGGCACAGAGTCCGTCCTTATACTGCCTGGGCCGCCTACGCTACCGCCTGTAGACGCGTGCCTGTGCTACCTTTTTACATAGGTACTTATTTATGATTATGGTGGGTCACTAGACCAAGTAATTAGATCAGGAAATGAAATAATAATCTAGTTTAAAACAAAACGCATGAAATAATTGTATTTGATATAGATTTTAATTGATAACATAATTTGTAACCTCTATGCGTACGAGATTTCTACACTACCCCAAAGGTTAGTTGTTTATAGGAGAATATTATAGTGCATTAAGTCCCCCGATGTACAAAAGTCATCTATAAGTATCTATCTGTTATTCCGGACCTCTTACAAATAGCGCTGAAGGTTATTTCCTTGTTTTGAAAAGGATATCTACTTACGACTTTTTAAATTTTCTCAGAAAAGTGTGATAAGTTTCCTCCTTACTTATAAAGATCTATTTACTAGTTAAGTGAAATCATGCCTTTGCACCATTACTTAGAAGTCACTAAATAAATAAAATCCATTTTAGAAAATAATATTTTTATTTTCAGTTAAAAAGGAAAACTGACTAAATAAATAAAACATAAATCTCAAGGTTTCATTGACCTTGAGATTTATGATTTATTTCACCAATACCGGCTGGTACAGAGCTTCTAAAAACGTAGTATTTTATGTCCCATGTGTTTTCCCATTGTTGTTTGTCGTTCGCGAAACTCACAGACCATGATATCAACAGACACAAATTTCGCAATGATGTCATTCAACTACTGCCCTAAGATCAACAGGTGTTTTCAACAATAATAGTCATAAGCTCCTAAATTAGGCGTGCTTAGTCGAACTCTTGCTTATTATTAGGTATTATATAATTGGGTCTGGCCCAATTCGGCCCATCCTACACTCTCACTATTGCGACTCTAATACTTCAGGATACGACCACGAGCTACGAGTAAAGTTGATACGTAGAAATTTGTATAAAACAATATTATCTCTTAGTTAGTTACTTCGCAGACTACGTCTTAGCCTTAGCTACTTACTACATTTATAGTATAAATCCAACAGTCAAGTAGAATTAAAATGCCCATAATACACCGCAATTTTTCTTATTGCTAATAGGAAGAAAGTAAAAAAAATCGTGAATGTTAATATGCAATTAAAATAATTGTTTACAGCGTACTAAAAAGGATATTAAATTTTTAGAAATACTAAAATGACGGACATAATACATTCTAAACTATAAAAAAAGTAAAATCCGAATCAATACGACGTTCGAAGCCTACCCTTAAATACCGGCAAGACACTTGTGTGTGTTAAGTTGCATGTCTCAATGGGCGGCGCAGTTACTGGGCCTCAGATGACCCGTCTGTTCGATTGCCCTCTATATCATGTAAAGAAACAGACTTATGTTTATAAACCTCGACCAGTTTCGCCCATAGCGACCGCTTCAGGTCCTTATTTGGCGTTGATGTGCTTGTACGTGTAAACATTTGGGCGTATTGTGAATATGCGATAACACCGTAAGTAGTTCTCAGTAAATTGTAGTTAATTACTACATGTGCTAATAAAATAATTGTAATACTTTACATAAAACCCTAAGAAAGAATTTGCTAGATACTCCTAGTATATGTAAGTACTTACCAACCTATTTCATAAAAATTTATTGTTTTAAATACGCCCATAAAACCAGTTACAGACTAATATATATTATAATTTCGCCTACGCAACATGCTTGGTAACAAAAAAACACTTCGTACAATACCGACATCCCATAATAAGCGCATCTTAAAAACATATAATATACAATAAAATCGACTCAATTATCGACTATATCCTGAGGATTCAGAAAACTGTTTAGTTTTAAATATCGAATTTAGCATATATTTTTGGCAATCGGACGTACGGACATTTGAACTGAGTCAGTTTTCCACCCACACAATTACGTAATATGGACCAACGCTGTTCCTACGGGTTCCGATTGAATATACGCTTAGAAAATAACATCTAAATTATAACTTTCCAGATCAAGCTTTATTTTACTCACAAATTGAAAGTACAACAATGGAAACAGTATATACCCATAAACATCAGTAATACAAATGTTTACACCTACACACCCAATATGTACCTGTTATGTTGCAGCTATACGCCTATAATTATATGACGTAAGTAATATCTTTACTCCAAACATAGTAGATACTGAGTAGGTACATACATGAACAGCAACAACAGAACTGTTGCTAAAGGCATTCATACAGGTTCATAAACAAGTTTCCTCTCATTACAAAATAATTATAATAATCTCACACATCTTTTACACGGCCGTCTAATCTCAAACTAGGCAGTGCCTGTCCAGAAACCTGGCAGTGCTGCAGATTCTCCGTCGGCGTTCCGACCGATATGCCTGCTAGACGAGGTGGCGAAACTCTTTGAAAGAGTTATCGCCGCCCGTATCAACCAGCACCTGTCGCGAGTGGCCCGACTTATCAGACAACCAATTTGGCTTCCGACAGGGACGATCGACGCTGGACGCGATCGAACGCGTCCGCTCTTTGTCGGAAGAGGTTGTCTGTAGCGGGGGAGTGGCGTTGGCCGTCAGTCTTGACATAGTCAACGCCTTTAACTCTCTCCCGTGGTGGGCGATTAGGGAGGCACTGGTGTATCATCAGTTGCCACCCTACCTACGAGGGCTACCCTACATTATCGGGGCTTATCTCCGCGACAGATCCATATCGGTTGGGATATGAACGGGTCAGGACGGAGAAGAATGTCGAAGGGAAGTTACATGCAAGGGTCTTAGGACCACTTCTGTGGAACCTTGCGTATGATGCCGTTCTGAGGATCAGCCTTCTGGTTCCACAGGAAACGCAGAGGTGCAGTTCCCACCCGCTCACTTATTAGCGTGGGGGGAACAGAGGTCGAGGTTGGTCAACACATAAAATACCTTGGCCTCACCCGAGACAGCCGCTGGAGCTTCGGGGAGCATTTCGGGCGGATGATCCCCCGAGTTCGTGGGGTGGCGGGCTCCCTACAAAGGCTGTTGCCTAGGAAGTTCGCTGCCTCTATTGTGCGTCGATATCGGCCAAGCGCCTATCGGCCTCCTCCCGCTGCCGAGATAAGCTCAATCAAGCGCAGCGGGTAGCGGCCATTCGGATCGTACGAGGATACCGCACTATTTCGTCGGAGGCGGCGACAGTCCTGGCACGTTTCCCCCCCTTTGATATCCTGGCGGATATGGACGCGAGGATCTATGACCAGACTCGCGCGATCCGCTGGGGTGAGAGCGGGGAACACCAGGACGCGCTCAAAATGCGGCGGAACGCTCACCGACAGGCACTGGTGCAGTGGCGCGTGCGGCTGGAACAGCCACAGAATGCACGCCAACGCGCTGTCGGTGCTGTTCTGCCTAACCTCGAAGCCTGGGTAGGTAGGGAGGGAGGTCGCGCCACCTATTGACTGACGCAGGTACTCACTGGGCATGGTTGCTTCGGTGAGTACCTGAATCGTATCGGACGCGAGGAGACAGCACAATGCTAGCACTGCGCAGCCGACTGGGACTCCGCCCAGCACACGCTGGAAGACTGCCCGGCGTGGGCGTCTGAACGCGAAGTCCTGGTCGGCCAAATCGGAAGAGACCTGTCCCTGCCAGCAATCATTGCTGCCATGCTGGCGGGTGAGGAGGGATGGGGCGCAGTGGTCTCTTTCTGTGAAGCTGTAATGCTCCAGCAAGAGCCGCTGAACTGGATCGGGAGAGGGCCCATCCCGAGCGTAGAGGACGTCGGCGACTATACCAGCCGCCGACGGGGCCGCTGGCCGCCAGTGAGTGGGGACCTCTGGTGGCAGATTGAATGCTGCGGTAGGGGATAGGATGGCGGCTCGATTGCATTAAGACGAAATTGGGCCGCCACGTCGCGATTGAGGGGGGAAGTGATTTTCCCCTGGGATAGGGCCTGACTAGGCATGGTGTCAATTCGGGGAGGACCTGAAATAACATGGTCCAGGTCCTCCCAGAATAGGGCACCTGAGGCCGGCCGTCGGGGTGGTTTTTAGTGGAATCACCACATACTCCTTACCTCCCATACTCCCCGAGGAGCAGGAGATCCAAAGGGATTTTCCACCCCTTCAAAAAAAACAAAAAAAAAAGGCAGTGCCTGTGTATGGTAACCAGGCTGGTGATAAACATACTTGTGTATTTTGTTACTTATATATTTAGAAATATATAAATTTACCTCATTTATATAATTTCTGTATACCTATCACCAGTTCAAATTGAATCCAGCCCATCCAAAGGTTGCCCGGAAGAAACTAAATTATTTGCAATTATTTGCCCTGGGTGGGAATTTAACTAACTAAGCACTAGAAAAGGCCGTCATTATCTGCTTGTTTGATTATTTGCTTATTTAAGCCCGGTAATCTGCAGAACTATCAGTTTGATTTGATTTTTTATTATTGGACGGATGATAAAGTATTTATTGAAAATGGTTTTAGGTAAAATCACGCTATAACCCTTAGGATTTGAACAGTTATATTCAACGTGGTAATAAAAATCATTAAATACCTGTCTGAAAAATGAAATCAATTAAATATTTTTTCTTCAATAATTTTAAATTAGGTCTAAAATGTGGAACATTCCCACATTGGTAATGCGTAACCTATAACTTGGTTTGATACTTGGTTTGATACTTGGTTTGATAACTATAGAGTTGGTTTTCTCTTAGAAAAGAGCTGACAAAACTTCTGTTGTTGTCAGAGAGTAAAGTGATCTATTTAGCCTACTTTATCTCTTAGTGTTATCAAAAAATATAAAGACCTCCTATTAATTATATTACAGCATGTATATGCATAGCGTGCCTTAGCATTATTGGGTTCGATTCCCACCCAGGACAAATATTGTGTTATAAGCACGATCATTTGTTCTGTGTCTGGGTGTTGTTTATCTATGATATGTATGTATTTAGAAATATATAAGTATGTTTATCAGCAGCCTGGTTACCATAATTCAGTATCTGCCTAGTGAGATGGGTGAAGGTATTATTATTATTAGGTATTAATAAGCACCTGCACAATGTTGCCAAGAATAATCACGAGATATGTACATTAATATATTTCTCCTTAATGTAGATACTCGTGTCTCTTCGTGTCCATAAAATTTAAACAATGAATGTCATTAACACATTGTAAAATCAATGAAACACAGGTAATACTTGGTTTATGTTTTAAAGGTAATCATTAATTTTTAATTATTAAATAAATTAAATTAGATAAAACTATCTATTTCCATAGAAGAAGACAAATAAGTTTAGGTTCACCAAACTTCTGAAACTTGAGATTGAGGTAGAATACGTGCTATTACTTAAAGAATTTCAATCAACTCTGGTTTCCCATCATAATGCAGAAATCTTTTTAACAATTTCAAGAACAAATAACCGGTTTTTTTAAATTTAAACAATAATACTACTGAATTTGCATAAACCAATTTATTTTATTGCTGTTTAAAACATGACAGAACCGGAGCAATAATCAAAAACCAAATCATAGCTACGATTATACTTCTTAGTTTTTTTATTTGGTCTTATAAATACTTATATGTATTGTTTCTGGGTATCTATGGAATACAACCGTATGCTTTGATATTTCTAAAATAACTTACACCTTTAGTTAACTTTACAGAATCGAAAATCGTTTTCCAAAAGAAAAAAACAACATTGATTTTGCAGGTCAGGTATCTGCG